AAGTCCCTGCTATTCACTGTTTTTTTTTCTTATTTTGCTGTAAAAAGGACTTGCAATCAGATTCATAAAAAGGACTCTAATAAGTACTTTTAAATACAGATTTTTTAAAAACCAACAAAAAAAATCATCCCTCTCTTTTTATTTCCTCCTATAAATACTGTTATTTTAAACTCTCCATCAAATGCCTTCTGATGGGAGGGTACAGAATGTGTCTGGCAGTACACAGCAAATCAGAGGTTTTTATCTTGCGTCTCTTAGGATGAGGAAAATAGTGGAATGAGGATGAGGGCACTTTCAGGGCAGAAAAGCAACATAGCTCACTGGGGACACTGCTGGGCTGGGCAGGGCACCCTGCCAGGCTGAGTAGGGGACCCACAGGCTCAGGGCCCAGATTAAGTACAGATTTCTAATAACTTTAAGATAATAGACTGAATGAAAACTTTCTAGAATTCTACTAAAGAAACTGATAGGGCAGCACCTGCGGCTCAAAGGAATAAGGCACCAGCCCCATAAGCCGGAGGTGGCAGGTTCAAACCCAGTCCTGGCCAAAAACAGCAAAAAAAAAGAAACTGATAGGTTCATGAAACTGCTAATAAAGATCAAGCAACACAAGAGTTAATTATATGAGATTGAATGATGAAAGTAATGTTTTATGACTGTCATTTGAAACAATACTGATGCTTTACATTAATGTTTTGTTTTCCAGATTTAAGGAAATTTTCTCTCTTGAGCTACCTCTAATTTATAGTAATTTGGTATACTTTTGTGAACAAAGGTAGATATATTTGCTTTTTCTCTTTGATCCTTACAAAATTCAAAAATTGTCCATGAGTATTCTCCTTTATTTTAAGGGGGGAAAGGGGTAATATGGTTACTTGCATAAGAATCTCATAAAGAAACAGGATATGAGGCTATGCACAGTGGCTCATGCCTATAATCCCAGCACTTTGGGAGGCCAAGGTGGAAGGATCATTTGAGATTAGGAGTTTGTGACCAGCCGGTCAATACAGTGAGACCCCATCTTTGTAAAAAAATAAGAAAAGTTAGCCAGGCCTGGTGGTCACATCTATAGTCTCAGCTACTCTGAAGACTGAGGCAGGAGAATCGCTTGATCCCAGGACTTCAAGGCTACAGTGAGCCATGATGGCACCACTGTGCTCCAGCCTGCACTGGATGTCAGAACAAGACCCTGTCATAATGAGGCCCTCACCCTGCCCCATGCCAACTTTTTCACTTGGCAAGATAACAGTGTAATTGAAGTTTCATAATTAGTAGCTTCTGCTGGTAACTTGACAGAACCTGACCTAAGAGACCCTTTAGTATCTATTTGTTAAATAAGAAAATATCTGCTATGCCACGTGCTGGGCCTGGATGGATTCCTCTGGGTAAGTTGAGACTCATATACACAATAAGAAAATAGGCCATATGGTTACAACATGTGTCACCTAATTCCCCATGGTCATTTGATTTATTCACTTGGCTGCCTTTAAGCCCAGGTTCATGGCTCAAAACCATTATGCAAACTAGGATTGTCATATTACTATTAATTTTATTTTGTATTTTCCATTTTTAAACTTTGTGGCTGTTACTTATTAAATTTCTGCAGAAGTACAACTCCTAACAGAATAATGCTGGCCCAGCATTATTAGGATAATAGGATGATAACAAACAGATGAAGTTGAACTGAACGATGGACCCCAGGTAGACCTAACCGGTGAGCCACTTCCTATGAACCTCCCCTGTTGCTGAAATGTGGCTAAAAGGGTTTTTTGAAACTGACTCCTAGTCATCATTCGCCCACTCCAATGAGAGATCAGATCAATGATCTGGCCCATCCTAGCACCAAGGGACAGTCGAAATGCAACTACAGGATGACTGATCAGTGATATTTTTGGAGAAAGACCTTATCAAAAAGGGGAAATAAAGAGAGCTGGGAAGCCATGAAGGGAAGGTTATCATGCATAAATACTGATAAGAACTATCACAAAGGACTTCTGGAAAAACCCCAACCATGCACAAAGGCCATCACAACCTTACACACACAAAAATATTTCTGCGAGGACATCTGCCAGCAACTGCCTGTCCAACCTCAGACGGGCATCATCTTTGTGAGCCAAGGATCTTTATAGCCAAGGATAATTATTTCAAAACAATTATGTAATCATACTTATCTTTCCTTTATCTCCCTGTACACTCCGTTTACTATGACACATGTATTCCCATTGCAGTATCCTATTCCCAAATAAATATCGTTTTCCTTTAAAGAGGCCATGTCTGTTATCTGGGTTGACAGAACCATGGAGCACAGCTGCCCTTGGTTAGGTTTTTCTGGTGACCAGAGGCCACAGTTGAGCTGCATTTAGCTGAGCTCAACCTAGGTCAGCTGACTTAACATGACCTACAGTAATGATTATTACTTTAACACCACATTTTGGGATAGTTTTTTACACAGCAGTAGCTAAGTAATACAATTCCTTATGAACTCATGGTGGCAACCTGGGAAGCAATGGTTCAGGTGATTTTCAGATAATCTCCTTATAACATTTGCTCCTGCTGAGTGGCCCAGGCCACAGCATTTTAGGCCCTTCATTTATGGCTGGCTTCAATCTTATAGTCTCATCACACAGCTCAGTAGCCAGGAACAGGTCAATCAGAGCCTTATCCATGCATCTCTCCCCAACACAAAGAGCTCACACTGAAGCACTATGTAAATTCTTTTTTATTAGTGTTTATTGAGATTATAAAATATAATAAGTTATATATACAGAATTAGACAAAAAAATTGACAATTAAGGCTTCACTGGCTAAGGGACACAGACTTAGCTTGGGGTGTTTTATGAATGTTTGTAAGTATTGCAAAGTAATAACTATCTCCATACAAAAATGGCAGGGTGGGGTCCCAGGTTAGGTCAGTGAGAATTAGTATGATTTCACTGATTCTGAATTCCACATATAGGATAAAGATCATCAGATCATTCTATTTGTTTCCACGTCAGTAAATGACAAGGAATGTGTAACTAAGTAAGGACCAGCTCCCTAAAATGGCAGGGTGAGAACCAAGGGAACGTGGTCTGAGGCCCCCAGGATTCTAGCAGCATGAGACAAGGCCAAAGGCCCAAACAGGGAGCAGCCACCACCCCATCACCCGCTTTCACCGAAAACACTGTCATCTGTCATCCTGGAGTGTATGCTCATCACAAGTGACATTTGCAGTCTAATTATGGGAAGACTCTCATCATCATTATCACAAAGCAGGGGACAGGATTTCAAAGAGGAATTAAAAGGATAATTAAGCTTTGCTGTGGAGTATTTAGCTTGCAGGATTTTTACCAAAAGGTTCTGAAAAACAGCAGCAAACAGACACAGTAAATGACGCTATTAAATATTCAGGACCTCATTATGATCCTCTCACAGTACGTTCTGCATTCACTGGCAGGAAATTGCTTGTTGGCATTAAAGATATAACTGATTTTTCCCACAAAACATTTGTTCAGCCATGCAACTGCAATTTTAAAAACTTTGCTTTGTAAGAGACTATTTTAATTTAGTGATAATCACCATCAGACCTGTGAGCAGGGGCTCAGCAGGGACCCCTAAATTAACCCCTGGTGTGATCACCACCATGGCTCCCAAGCTCTTGGCAATTACAGGTGTACTAAGAGAATCCGCCAAGAACAATGCCAGTTCATTAAATTTATCTCCATAAATGTTATGTCAAACAATTGTGCAGTTACTGTGAAAATACCAATTCTGAATTTTTCTGTTTTTATTCCCATTTTACTTGATGTCCCACACTGTGTTTACTTCTGTGGAGTACCTCAAAGGCCAGGCACTTCCTGCAGCTCCAATTTCCTTCTGTTCACCTGCACCTTCCTTCCCCTGATTACAAAATTGCTGCCTAACCTCTCAGTTCCAGAAGAGAAACTGAGGCTGAGGGAGGGAGAAGAAAATGGCCCATGGCCAGGCTCATCACCACACTGCAGGGCTCCACTGTCCCTGACCGGCTCAGAAGGCTGAATCTCTAACTCACACACCATAAAAGCTCATCCACAAATCTCAGACACTTGGAATCTGAAATTGTGTATGACTGAGTTCTGAGGTGTCATTGTTTTCCTTTCTAAGCAGAGTTGACCACTCATGCCTGATTGAAGCCAAAACACAGCCTGACATATGATAATTTAAACTGCTGTGTCTTTAAGCACTGCTGTCCCCAAAGGGTCAAGTGTGCCTGAGGATGAGAGAGGAGGGCCATTCCATGTAATCCAAACCACAGGGCTTCCAGGCCAAGAGAACTGGCCACTGTGCATCCAGGTGACTGGACAATCACACAGCAACACAAAGAAAGCAGTGTTGACCAGAAGGCCTGGAGGAATATGGATGACTTCAGGAAAATAGCAGAGTCATCCTAATGGTCACATAGGATACTAATGGACTTGTACTAAACCTGAAACAATTCACAGAGTGGAGTGCCTGCATTTTGTAGGCACTTTACCAAAACGTCTGAGCTCTGAGCGGCTGTCTCCTTGAGGATGCCCTCCTTCGCTACCCCCATGGGAAGCCATCTCCCCATGAGAACTTCTATTATATTTTCTTAGCATCTCTTCATTCAGCTTGTGTGATGTCATCTGACAGAGTGCTTTGTAAACATTCATTCCTTCTGCCTTCCACAGGAGTGCAATCTCCTTAAAAATGGGGTTCAGATTCTTCACCTCTGTTATCCCTATGTGGTTTGGTTCATTTAAGTACCCAACAGCGTCTCTTGAATGAGTTAACAGTTTGCTGGATGAGTGAAGAAATATTCACTCCACCTGGAAAAGTGCAGGTGGGCGGCTGAGAGCATCCTGACTTTACTACTTTCTCTCTGGTCGGACTGGAAGACAGGCCTATTTGCTTCAGCTCCTTGAGCCACGTAAGGCACATGGCAATCTAGCCTTGATTCCTGGTCATCTGTCTGCACCACTCACAGCTGCGGGGCCCTTGTCAGGTCTTTGGTGGGTCCTGGGAGGACAGGCCACGGTCTTGGTCCTCAGGAAGCCACAGGTGGCTGGGAGGCGGGTGGCACTGCCCCAGCCCACTCCAGGATGTCTGCACATAAGGACTCCACGGCATCCAGCCGCTCAATTTGCACCAGTTTTGTGAGCAGCTCAGGGATGCTGTAGCCTGCAGTGCTGATGCGGTCAAAGAGCTGCATGCCGTCTGTCATGCCCCCAATCTCATCCCTCTTCAGTCCAAAGCTTTCAGCAAGGTGGCGCCACGTTTTTACCACAGCCTTCTCGGAGTTGTAGGTGGAGCTGAGCATTCGGCTTGTCTTCTCCAGGCAGTCAAAAGGCAGCTCAGTGGGGCTGAGACCTATAGACACCAACACCACAGTCAGATGTCACAAATGGCAGTCAGCAGAAGCCTAACACCTTTCAAACTTATTTTTAAAATCTTAAAAATTCTAAAAGAAAACACAGATGCAAAAAGCCACACAAAACAAATGCATGCTTATGGTAAACAATACCTAGAACCCTGCAGATACCCTGATCCCAGCAATAACCCCACCCCCACTAGGGAAACAACTGCTAATATTGGCTGTTATAGTAATCCTTTCATGACCACCATTTTTAGCAGTCCTCCAAGACTTCAATATAGGTTATCCTCAGTTGGGTAACCCTGCCTTACATGGGAATGGGCAGAAGGGCCAAAGGGACATAATGTCCCTTTCTGGGGACAGTAGTCAACTGTAGGCAGGGTGTTCACAGTCTATGGTTGGGGTTCTCTGGACCAAGTCACTGCAGACTCAGTGGTCTAATGGTTCTCAGTGCTAACTATAAAATAGACTCACCCAAGTGCATTTAAAAAATTGATGTATTTCTACTTCTAGAAGATGGAGTAGACATACTTTTCCCTATTCCTCCCACTAAATAAAGCTATAAACCCTGAACATTATGTATAAAACAAACATAAGACAACACTGAATAATGGAAAGAAGAAGATAAATCCACTATGGACCTCAGGACTTGAGGAATGCCATGGTGGTGACTTTCCTGGTTTTTCTTTTGCCTCACATGCTCCAGACATGGAGCTGAAATCCAGAAATCACAAGCACAGACAAAAATAGCCCTAACAAAAGTCTTCCCTCTTGGCTTGGTGCCTGTAGCTCAGCCACCAGGGCGCCAGCCACATACACTGTTGCTGGTGGGTTTGAATTCAGCCTGGGCCTGTCAAACAACAATGACAACTACAACCAAAAATAGCCGGGCGTTGTGGGGGGCGCCTATAGTCCCAGCTACTTGGGAGGCTGAGGCAAGAGAAAGGCAAGAGAATGGCAAGGGCCCAAGAGTTTGAGGTTGCTGTGAGCTGTGATGCTATAGCACTCTACCCAGGGCGACATAGTGAGACTCTGTCTCAAAACAAAAAAGTCTTCCCTCTTGTAGGCAAAAAGCACAGGAAAAGAGTAAGAACAAAACATAATTGCTCTATTCACTGAAACACCACCTACATCCTACACTATCAAGGGCTCAATGGGGAGTCCAGACTTCGACCCTCATAGGGTGACAATACTGTCCCAGGTGGTGTTAGGGAAGGCCATGTAGGGACAGCTCTTCTCCCCCAATGGTGTCAGGGGAGACCATGTGGGAAGCCAAACTCCTAAGCCCCAACTAGCCATAACAAGGAGCTCCAACTTGGATATCAGTGAAGGCTGAGTGGGGAGCTTGGATGTCTGGCAGTAACAAGATTGTACTCCCATTCTCCTGCATGGGGTTATCAAAGGGCCCACTCAACAGCTGCAGGGCCTTCTAAAATAAATATGATCCAGAGCCTTTTAACATGACATAAAAATGTCCAGGTTTCAAAATAAACTTACTTATGATCTCAAGAACCAGGAATTTCTCAAATGAGTGAAAAAAGTTCAATACAGGCAAACTCAGATGTCAGAGATGTTAGATTATCTAAAAAGAATTTTGAAGAAACCATAATAAAAATGCTTCAACACACAATTATGAGCATACTTAAACAAAAAGAAAAGCACAGCAAAATATAGAAAATATTAAAAAACCAAATGAGAATATTAGAACTGAAAAATAGAATAACCAGAATGAAAATCTCAGTAGATGGGTTCAATGGCAGAATAAAGACAGTGGAAAGAATCAGTGAGCTGGATAATAGAAAAATAGAAATTAATCAGAGAAAATAAGCTGAAAAACATAGAGCCCCAGGGAGCTAAGATTTGTGTCATGGAGTTTCAGAAGGAGAGGCAAAAGAGAGTGGGGCTAAAAAAGTACTCAAAGAAATAATGGCTGAAAACAACCCAAATTTGTAAAGAGACATTATCTCAGTTTCAGGAAGCTAAGAAAATCCTAAACAGGATAAACTCAAAGACATTTGTGTCAAGACACATCATAAGTAAAGTTCTGAAACTTAAAGGTCAAAGTCTTAGAAACAGCCAAAGAAAAACATCACCTTATCTGTTGGGGAAAGACAATTAAAATAACATGGATTTATCATCAGAAACCTGAATACCAGAGAGAAGTGGCACAGTATTTTCAAGGACTGAAAGAAAAGAACTATTGACCCAGAATCCCATACCCAGTAAATATACCCAATGAAAATATCCTTCAGAAATGAAGGGGAAATCAAAGATATTCCAAGATGATAAAAAATTAAGGACTTGTCACCAGCAGACCTACCTTAAAGAGCAACTAAAGAAAATTCTCTAAACAGAAAGGAAATGCTAAAAGAATAAAACCTGAAACATCAGAAAAAAACACAGTAACCAAAAAAATGGGCAAATACAATGGGCTTACTTCTCTTTTCTCTTACTTACTTCTCAAACTCTTACTAAACTCTTTTTAAGTTTTCTGAACTATGCTTGACAGTTGAAGCAATTGATGTGGTTCTAGATAAATGTAGAAGAAATATTTATGACAACTACAAACAGGGAAGGTAAAGGAAATAAAGATAAGGTTTTTATACTTCATTCAAAAATGATAACACCAGTTGAATAATAAGGTATATATGTATAACTGCCAAAACAGTTATTTTTAGAAAAAGCACTCAAAAAAACGTCAAAATGGAATCCTGAAATATGTTCAAGTGACTCACCAGAAAGCAGGAATAAGAAATGAAAAACAGAAACAGCAAACAAAAAATAAAATAGTAGACTTAAAACCCAAATATAACAATAACCTCATTAAATGTAAATGGCTTAAATACCAACTAAAAGTCAGAGCTCATCAGTATGGACTTAAAAATTACCCAGCTATAAGATGTCTACAAGAAACTCACTTCAAATATAATAATATAGGCATGTTGAAAGTAAAAGGATTGAATAAGATATATCAGATAAAGATATATCAAGAACAGGAAAGCAGAAGTATCTATAAAGATAAAGTAGATGTCAATGGGAAAAAAGTTATGAGAGACAGACAGGGACATTCTATGACAATAAAAGGGTCAATCCACCAAGAAGATACAGCACCAAACAACAAAGCTCCAAAATATGTGAAGCAAAAACTGGTAGAACTAAAAGGAGAAAGAGATATGTCTCCAATTACAGTCAAAGGTTTCAACACCTCTCCCTCAGTAATCAGAAGAACAATTGGAAGAAAATTTACAAGAATATAGAACTTACCAAAACCACTAACCAACAGAATCTAATCAACATTTATTGAACCCTCTACTCAACAACACCAGAATACACATTCTTTGTAAATGCAGACCTTACACCTCAACAAATTAATATAACTGAAATTATACAAAATGTATTCTGCAAGAGAATTAAAATAGAAATCAATAATAAAAATTTCACACACTTGAAAACAAAACAACACACTTCTAAATAATTCATGAGTCAAAGAGTATGTTTCAAAGAAAATTTTAAAATGAATGATAATAATATATCAATATTTGTGTGATACAGGTAAAGGAGTACTGAGAGAGAATTTTGTAGCAAAAATATATACATTACAAAAGAGGTAACTCCCAAGTGAATAATCTAAGCTCCTATCTCAAGCACCTAGGAAAATATTAGCAAAGTAAACCCAAAGTAAAGCGAAGGAAGGAAATAATACAATTGAGAACAATACGTAATAAGCTAAAAAGAGTAAGGTAACAGAGATCCACATGAAAGGAGTCAGTTATTTGAAAAACTGACAAATCTCTAGTGAGATTGAGAAAGAAAAACTATAGAAGACAAAAATTACCAATATGAAGGATGAAGAAGGAAATATCACTCTGTCACCTCACACACTGAACAGATAGCAAGAGAATACGACGAGCAACTGTAACTCTACACACAGAAATTTGAGAACTTACATGAAATGGAACAATTTCTCAAAAAGCATAAACTACCACAGCTTACCCAACAAAAACCAGATCATTTGAATAGACTTATAATTATTAAGAAAAGTGAATTTATAATTTTAAAAATACCCCAAAAGGAAATCTCCAGGTCTACATGATTTTACTGAAAATTTTTACCTTTTGTTTTTGAGACAGAGTCTCACTTGTAGCCCTCAGTAGAGTGGGCATCACAGCTCATAGCAACCTCAAACTCTTGGGCTTAAGCAATTCTCTTGCCTCAGCCTCCCAAGTAGCTGGGACTAGAGGTGCCCACCACAAGGCCTGGCTATTTTTTTTTTACAGACAGGGTCTCGCTCTGGTTTAGGCTGCTCTCAAATCTGTGAGCTCAGGCAATCCACCTGCTTCAGCCTCCCAGAGTGCTAGGATTACAGGCATGAGCCACCTCTCTCGGCAATTTTACCAAATTTTTAAGGAAGAATTAACAATATTATTCTACACAATTTCTTCCAGAAAGTAGAAAAGGAAGAAATGCTTCCCAACTAATTTTGTGAAGAAGGTAATATAACTTGATGTGAAAACTAGACAAAGACAAAACACACACACACACACACAATCACAGGCCAATACCTCTCATTAATACAAATGTGCAAAACCCTTAATAAACTATTAGCAAATAGAATTCAACAATATGAAAAAGGAATTCTTCATCATGACAAGTGGAGTTTTATTCCAGGGAGACAAGGTTAGCTCAATATTCAAAGTTTACTTACTAAATTAATGTCAACCATTCATAAAAAGCCTAGAGCTAACATTGTAACTTTATGGTGGAAAAACTGAAAGCTTTCCTTTTAAGATCAGAAATAAGGCAAAGATCCCCACTCTCACCACTCTTGTTCAACATAGTGCTGCAAGTTATAGCCAGTGCAGTAAGGTGAGAAAGGATAGGAAAAGCTTACCAACTGGAAAGGAAAAAATAAAATGGTCCCACTTACGAGGACTTAACCTGTGATTATCGAGGTAAAAAATCCCCAAGAATATAAAAGAAAACTCCCAGGAAGTGAATTCAGCAAGGTCACAGTTCAACCTAAACATGCAAAAATCAACTGTATATTAGCAATGAATACATGGATATTAAATTAAAACAAAATGTCACTTATAATTGCTCCAAAAAATGTAGACTAAAGGTGTAAATCTAACAAAATATGTACAGAACTTGTACCCTGACAACTACACAATGCTGATAAAAGAAATCAAAGATGGTCCAAATAAATGAAGAGACATATCATATTCCTGGATTAGAAGACTCAATTTAATAAGAATGTCAAGTCTCCCAAAATTGATTTATGGGTTGGATGCAACTTCTATCAAAATCCCAGTAAGGTATTTTATATACATAGGGAACGTTATTCTAACACTTATGTGGAAAGACAAAGGAACTAGAATATCTAAAAGATTTTGGGGGAAAAATATACAATAAAATGGGAGCAGTCTATCCGATTTCAAGATAACTTGAATCTAAGGTATTAGATAGCTTATTATATTATACATGAACCAAGACTGTGTTGTGCTATCAGAGGGACTGACACACAGATGAAAGCAATAGAGCAGAGACCCCCAGAAAATAGACTTAGGCAAATATACCAAACTGATTTTTGACAAAGGTGCAAAGCAATTCAATGCAAGAAAGACAGCATTTCGAACAAACCGTGCTGGGGCAACTAGATATCCATAGGCAACAAGATGAACCTTGACCTAAGTCTCATATTATTATATCATTTATATGTATATATTAACTACACAACTAGCCTATTACCCAATAAATGCACTCTTGGACACAGATAAACCTCTACACAAATGTTTATAGCACCTTTATTCCTAATAGCTTCTGACTGGAAACAAGATGTCCTTGTCCCAGATGTCCTTCAATAAGTGAATGGTTAAAGAATCTGTCGCTCATCCACACCACAGAACACTGCTCAGCAACAAAGGAGCTATCAATACACGAAGCGACCTGATTACATGCTGTATGATTCCACTTTTATATCATTCTTGAAATGACAAACTTATTGAAGTTGAGAACAGACTGGGGCTCCTGGGGCCCGGGGCTGTGGGGTGGGTGTGAATTGAGTGTGGCCATAAAGTGACCACAAGAGGGGCCTTGTAGTGATGAGAGTGGCCTCTAGCTTCACAGCATTAATATCAGTGTCAATGTTGTGACTTTTGTTCTTAATTGAAAAGAAAAAACCAAAAAGATATTGTTGCCTAGGACTCACTCCTGACTAACATCAGGGTGTTGGGGTCAGGTGGGGTTGACTAGGCAGAAAGAGTGTTAGGATATGCTGGTGACAGTGACACTCATCAAGGCCAGAACTGCTGGGTGAGGCTCCAAGCTGTGGCTGCACGGCCACATCCCTGTGGTACCAGGCACCCTCCCAGGCCCACTGGTGGGGTTCCTCTTGCATGTGAGATTCTTAAAACTAGGTGTCCTAGTGAAAACCAGTATCCCAGGGGTGTAGATTCCTATTATACTTTGGAGTGAGGAAGAACATTCTGACAGATGGAATGCAAGCTCCAGACCATCCTGCCCTGGGCAGCCTGGGCCATACTAGGCTTGCTCGGGCAGGCTGACCGGGCGTGTGTTTATGGAGAGATGCCACATTTCGGCAGACAGCCAAGGACTCTTGGCCCTGGCATTCACCTGCAGTACAGTTATTTCTGGCCAATGGAGCACCAGAACAGCAGGTCTGCTTGGTGAAGGGGTGAGGAGATGACTGGGAGTATGTGGGTAGTTGGGGGTGGGGGTGCCAACCAGACAGGAAGTGGGAAAAACCCCTGACCTCTGCCATGAGGGGTTTATCTTCGGGGTAAATGAGAAGGTAACTTGGAGACTGGATTTTGCAGGGATTGGGAGCTGAGGATCATGATTTCAGACTGCAGTATTGATGCTTTCTGTCCCATTACCTGTTCCCTGCACACAGCAGACAGAGGTTGCCATGAGACAGCCTGTCTTTGGGAGGGAGGGACAGGCTCCCAAGGCCACTGGACATTGTGAGCCACTGTGGGAAGGGGAAGGGTGGCTAAGCGTGGGATGAATGGTCATGCTTCCAGGTGATGGTGTCAAGGCATAGACAAGCCTGGGGGTGCTGGGCCCCCAGGGGTGTGAGGTTCCATCACTCTGCTCCTTGTCCCATCTGGGGGTGCCCAGGTAGGGAAGAGCCACAGGAAATGAGAAAGATGCCAAATCCAGTCTCCCCACACCTGATGACCCGTGTGGGCAGCTTTGCTTAGTTCCCTCCCAGGAGCATCAGGGCTCCAATCCAGGCCCCTTCAATCTGCAGACATCGAGGTAGGCAGTGGCAGCCGCCTTGTGGCGGGTCCCTGGTGGCTCTTTTGTGCTTACCTTCCACGACTCCGCACACGTTGGCATACACATCCAGTATCTTCTTCCTCCGACTCTGGATCTAGAAAAAATAGTTAAGAGAAGTTCATCTTCACATAGGGGTAAATGGCAGCACTGGCAGACGGGTGCTATGTCCTGCCACCCAGGAGACCTCAGCCCTGATTCTCAGGGAGAAAGGGCTTTCTCTTTTCCCACTCACACATCTTCGGGGCCCACCAAGTGTGTTTCTTGGGCTCAACTGGGCAGTCAGACTCACAAGATACCATGGCCATTATTGGCATTGGTCTGGAAGGTGACCATGGGTATCCTGCTGGTCCAGGGGGAGCCACACATGCAGCTGCCAGCAGCACTGCTGGGGCTCTCCTCCTGGAGCAGGTGTCCAGGCCCATGGAGACGAGGCCCAAGGGGCCCACATCCCAAAGCACAGCTGCTCGTACCTCTTGTATCACCACAGGCCTCCAGAGTCCTTGCAAGTGGCGGCCCTGTTACAGAGGTCACTGGGCTCAGGAAAGCCCAGAACATAGTGTATCCTGCCAGATCAAGCCAGAGTCAGGATCTCAGCTGGGCACTTTTACCCCCAGGGACTACCAGTGACAGTGCCTGGCAATGCAGCTGTTCTAAGCTGGGACCTGCGGCCAGGGGCACAGACCGGAGAGCGAGCTGCCAGGGAGGGCTCTGCCCACACCCCAGGCCACAGCACATCCCAGGGCAGCCTGGGGACAATTCATACCTGTGAACCTCTTTTTACATTAAAATACATATATAGGAAATATGCATATTATATATGTAGAAAATCATCTGGCTAGATATATGTCAGTATGTTTATAGAGATTTTTTTTCTGTCCTCTGGCATTCCTAGTGATTTTAACTTTCTTATTAATTTTTCATTTATATAGTGACATAATAAAAGAAAAAAGAGTTTTCTCTTTGTATCATATTGTTTTGCTGTGAACCTATCACTCTGTCCAAGTCTCCCATGTTGGACTTCCAGAGAAACAGGCAGTGTCGCTGGAGAGCCCATTGAACAAGAAAGTTCTGGTGGACAATCTCCTGCCATAGAGCGAGGTAAGCACTGCAGGCGCCTCACCCCAGCTGACTTGTTGCTGGCAGCGGACTTCTCCCTTGCCAAGTGGACCAGTGATAGCAGGCACAGCTCTGGGGAGGCCTGCTTGTCAGGGGCAGGCTCCTCGTCACTGTCCACACTGCGGCTCAGCAGCTGCTCGTTCTCAGATGAGGCGTCATTCTCACTGCAGAAATGAGAATGACAGTGGTTAATGTGACTGACAGACCCTCCCAGTGGTGACCTGTGTCGCTCAGGTATGGTCAAGTGGAATGGCTTGTTCCCCAAGCATTTGCTGAGCACCTCGTGGGCACTGGCCCAAGGGGATGTGAGATGAGAACAACACATCCACACAAGTCATGCCCACATGTGTGACCTGCAGGTGGCTGTGTGGGGGCTTCACAAAGGTGCTGTGGAGCTCTGGGGATCAGGGTTGCCCCTGAGGGTGGGGATGCCACCTGCTCACCTGCCGACCTACCATCTGACACAACAGGCACAGTAAAGGCCCACTGAGTATGTCTTAGATCCCTACATTCAGTCCCAATAAGCACCACGTTCAATCTATGTCTTACACCAACAAGTTTATGTGGCCAGTACTTACTCGAGTGAAAATGAAGCTTTTCCATTTCAAGCCTGGGAACCCCTCCCCCTTGTCACTAGTGGATGACCTAGCTGAAATGTGTGTACTATGGAGGCACCCGGGGGAGTGGGCAGGGTGGGTGGCCACACATGATAAGCCTGGGCGCAGGCCACCCTACCTCTCACTGCCCAGGTGCACACAGGACCCAGGTCAGCTCTAGACACATGTGATTTGTAGCTTAAACACTTAATACCAACCCAAATATTGAAGGCCCACTGTAAGCTGACCAGCCAAGTGCTTGTAACAAACTGGTCAGCATACATACATGTACAGGTACATGTCTGGACTATGAAAATTAGGTCACCGTAAGGAGGTGGTCAATGCAGGGAGTTGGTCAGCTATGGAGGTTCTACTATATATTAAAAACAATTATACTTTTTTTACAGGCATTGTGCTTATTTTCTGTGGTTTGTCTAAAGAACTTTTTTTTTAAGGATTTTATTTGCTTGTTACTAGATTACAGTAATGAAGCCCTTACGCAAACACAATCACAGAGACGGGATAATACAAAGGAAATAAAACTAATGATGAAGCCACTGGCAGAACTCATGTTCTTGTTACACTTCCAGGCCTCCCAAAGAAGTTAGCTGGCCCATCCCTGCCCCAACCTGAGAATGGGGCAAGAAGAAAAGCTGTCCCCACAGATGACCACGTATCCCACTCCACACTCTGGGCTTGTTTCCAAGACCCAAGAGTGGACAGCAGGGACGAAAGCTCAGTGCCTCATCTTTTAAAGCACGATCATCAGGTTTTATTTTTATCTAATATTTGTGTATGAAATAAATAATTTTTCCAAGTAGAGTCCCCTCATTTTCTTTGTATTCGAGTGAAACAAATGCAAATCATGGGGCTTGTCTCTGCCCTTTGACTGCCTCTCTTTTCTACTTTTGGGAATAAGAAAGGCTGGAAGAACAGAAGGGGAGAGACTGAGACAAAACAGGACCCTGCTAGACTAGAGGATATGGGAGCAAATTCCATCTCCAGCGAGGCCGTGTTTAAGAGCTTGAGCCAGGCAGCACGACCAGAGCCTAGCTTCAGTCCTGGGTACAGTAGTCCAGATCTGGCACCTCTTGCCAGTGTGCATGGTAAGGATGGTGGGGTGTTGGCCACAAATTCCCAGGGGTGGGTGTGTGGTGAAAAAATGATCAATTGGAATTGAGGCACTACAGGAAGTAACCTCTCTCTAAGGGCCTGACTAGTTTTACACATACAATTCACTCTTCTTCTCTAGTGCACAAAGTTCTTCTGACTGCCCCGCGTCAGGAGTGCTGAAAGGCATTGGCACTCCCCAGCTGGGACATGGCAAGCAGCAGTGCTTTTAGATGCTAGAGCTCCACAAGGAAGTGACCGCTCTTAGGATGGAAGGCATCACGGGAGCACATGGGGTGGGTGTCAGGGAGGAGGGTGTGCCTCTGCTCTGCCTGTAATGGTCTGGTGACTCTTTGTGGCCTCTATGCCCCATCTGTAAAGGGAGGTAATGGGGTGGATGGAGTCCCTCTGGCGCCCTGGTGGATAGGGTTTGATACCCTGCTGGAGCCTCAGTAAGGCCAAACCCAATGACTATTTGGTGGTGGTGCTTGCAGAAGCAGGGGATGGTCCCACCCTGAGGTGTGGTGAACATGGTAGAAATTTCATATGTCACATCTCTTCTTCAAGAGGCCTCATTCCCCCATGTGGCTTGTCTGGAGCCTGCTCTTAGATCCAGCCCTGCTGCTCACTAGTGTGTGACCTTAGGTGAGTGACAACTTCCAGATCTACAAATGGGGATGATACCAGCACCTTGATCCTAGGGCTGTGGCAGGAAAATGCATGTACCAACCTGGTAAGCATGAGCATTTTTTGGCTGCCATCCTCACCAAGATCACTAGCAATGTGGTGACACCAGCACTGGCCTGGGCACTGGGGTATCAGGGTCAGTGTTGGTGCAACAGCATCAGTGCAAATGGGGCTGTGTGCTCCCCTACAGACTGGAGAAGAGGCATTCAGGGGGCAGGTGTTAAAGACCTGGTGGAAGGACCTAGGGAAAGGCCCTGCTGCTGTTCACACCACCTGCCTGTGCTGGTCACTGAAAAGGCTGACCAGGATTGCCTTTGTCTCTGCATGGCACCCAGTGTCCCTGGCCAAACCAGGCCTCTCAGGGACTTGGCTGCATGCCTGACTCCCCCTCCTGCTCTGGATTCCACAAGGACCCCTTGCTGCTGGGGCTGAGGCTGCTCCACGCACCTCTTGGTGGGCTTTGCTGGTGTTGCTGTCAGCTTCTCGAATTCATCCTTCTCGGAAAAGATCACCACAGCATCTGCAGGGAGATGCAAGGTGGAGGAGGGAGACTTTAGAGCTGCTCAGAGCTGGCCCCTCCCCTCCTCTGAGTTCACTCTAGGCAGAACTGCCTGGTGACCCCAGCACCACCCAGATAAATGCAGCACGGGTGCCCTGGCCCTTCTGAGTGGTGAGAGCAGAGGCAACCAGGCAGCTGGGGTGGACATCCATCCCCAGCCATGGACACAGTGCTCACGGGTAATGAGAGGCTGGGTGTGCAGACCTGGGGCCTCTTTCTTCTCCTCGTCTTTGCTCACTTGGGCTTCCACGCTCTTCCCTGGGTGGCTGGTGCAGCAGGCTGGTGGGGGGAGAAGGGAGTGAGCAGCAGGCTCTCTGACAGGGCCAGCTGACCGAGGGCCCAAGGGGGCCGTGCAGGGGGTAGAGGCTGTCACCTGGGGCAGAAGGCTTGGTCTTCATGATGTAGAACATGATGATGAGGACAATGGCAATGGCCATGATGAAGATAGTGGACATCGCGATGATCAGGGCAGTGGCAAGGTGTCCTTGGCCTGAGAGCTCTGCTGGAGTCGGGAGAGGGAAGATGTGAATGACCCAGGCTCAGGGTTCCTGCAGGTCCCTCCTCCAGGCCCATGGCCCCTGGAAGCAATGGCCTTGCCACTGGAATGATTCCAGTGACTTTGGAGTCCAATGCTGCCTAATCTGAGAATCAAGCCATCCAGGCTTGCTCTGGCCACTGGATCAGAACTGCCCACTGCTCCCCAAGGTACTCTCTGGTTGGCTTCCCCAGACTTCCCTGGGAATGCTATAGTCTGGGTTGTCTCTAGGGGGCTTTCTCTTGGAGTACAATGGGACCCTGAGGCAAGGTTTGGTGTGAAGAGGAAGAGAATGTGAACAAGAGTCCTAAACCAGTGCAATCTGAGTCTGGCCACCTCCAGGCACAAGTCAGCCCTGGGTCTAGAGACAGGCTTCCAGCTTTGACTCTATCTTGTGCCTCATACAATTTTAACCTATGTGTGACTATAGGAGACCAGGGCACTGCCTGAGCTGGGCCACCTGCTCCCTCAGCTCTGTCATCCCTACTGGAAGACCCTCACTTAATCCAGGGTACTCTGCTGACTTCCCTGATTGATGTCAGCTCCAGGCTTAGAAAATGCCTTGAAGCTTGTTCTAATTCTCTAAAACCATTAGACAGGACCCTGGTTCCAGCCCCTACCCCCCATACAGGTGACAGGCATCTGAGGCTCTCATATCATCTGGGGTGTATCTGAAACATCATTTGGATGCCAGGTCTAGATGATATAAGTGTTTTAAAATTCTCTGTACCATGTGCTCTTCCTGGGGCCTGGCAGAAATGAGACTCCTGGCTGGAGCACAGTGCTTCCACCTGATGCCAGTGACTCTGAAGTTTCCCAGACCCTGCTGAGGTCTGGGCCCCAGATATTCTTAAATAATGGGAAAGAATTACACTCCTGTGAGAAGGAGAGGACAAGCCAGATCAAGATCTGGCTCTGAGAGAAAGATTACTCTTGGGGTCCTACATCTCTGAAGACAGGGAGAATGAGGCGCCACCCCTGAGAGCTACCACTTGAATGGAAGCCAACAGCAGGACAGTTGCTAACTCTGGCCACATTAAAGCCCACAAGTGCTGGCCTCACCCAGCTGCACCCCCCTCTGCCACATGCCTTCATTGTCAGCACCTGTCAGTGGGCCCAGGACACCCTGAGTAACCCATTCCACTCCCTGCAGAGATGATTATGGACTTCCTGCAACTGGAGCTCCATGTGACTCAGTTGAATTAGGGAGGTGATTTCAGGTGGGGGATAGTTCCACACTTCTTGCTAACAATTATTTTCTCTCTTGGTCTTAACTTTTCACCTGAGCCCCTGTTCTAGGTGACCAATATCTGGTCGCCCTACCTTTCTGGGCGTGCTGGGCAGGAGATGTGGTGCTGCTGCCAGCTGTGCCACGCAAGTGGGCAGAGACTCCCAAAGTGGCTCCCATACCTGCAAGGAGAGCAGAGTTACCTCAGATGGTCCGGAGAAGTGCCACCTTCAAAGATGGAAAATTAAGAAGTGGCTATGGGGCTAATGGGTCTGGAATTCTCCATAATGAATAGGCTTCAGGGAGTATGGGCAGGGAAAGGCTAAATATTTTTATTTCTTAGTGTGTTTACTGTTTCCTAAAGAGTATTCTGGGGCAGAGCAAGATGGTCGACTGGAGCCAGATTTCCACAGAGGCTCCTGTCCAGAATGAGAGTTAAAGGACAGACATTTAGCTGTCTAAGCTGATGATTTAGAGCTGAGCCAAGAGATAAGATTAAAGAATGCACATCAACCCTGCTGAGGTGAGCTGTGTACAAACATTAGGTACAAAATCCATTGCCAAGTGGATGGGAGTCCCCTCCCCCATACTGCAATGAGAACAGCTTGCAGTATAGTTTATACAAACAAGCGAGCACAGTTCAGATCTCTTCCTATTTTATCCCATGGGAGAGACCCTCTAAAAACTGAAACTCCTTCTCCAGAGAGTGCCCACTAGTGTGCCATGGCACTCTCTCACCAGGCACAAAACTGTATATATTCTCTACCTGCAATTCCAAGCCCCCAGCACTCCCCTCCACTCTCACTCTAAGGTCTGGAAGCCTGTCCTCCATGGAGTCCAGATTCTGGGGCATTTTCTTGAGAGGTATGGACAAGACATGGGCTATTGCAGGCCAATGGTGATTCTGTGGCATGGGTGTAAAGAGAGGAAAGTAGATTGAGAGAGAGAGGGAAAAGTGGTGCCCTGCAGCACAGAGCAGCAGTGGCAGTGGTAGGAACAATAGGGCTCACCACCCTGGCCTCTACTCCAGTGGCAGGAGACACTCCCTTGCCTCTCCTGGCAACCAGAGAAAGCCAGGCCTCTACTCCAGTGGCAGCCACTGGTGGTACAGATCTGGGATATAAACATAGGCCCCGTGAATAAAGGGTATGTCTGAGGCAGTACCTGCGTGGGCTGGGCTTGGTGGGGATGGAGACTAGAGTATGTGTACACAGAGACCACATACTCCCATGGCAGGGCTGAGTCAGAAGTGCTGCTTCAGTGAGTCTAAAAAGTACCTGGCCCCCAGGAGAACATAGCTGAGACAAAAGCAGGCGGGGCAACAGCACCAGCCCAGGGAGAGGCAAGAACTGAGAGCTGAGTGTGAGATCTAACCAAACCTGCTCCAACACAGAGTGCAGCAGAGACAGAGATGCCAGCTCTGTGAGAACTGGTGCAACAGCAATGGCACAGGGCGGGGCCGAGTCACAGTTACTGTGAACTCAAACAGCGCCTGGCATGCAGGGAAATATAGCCAGGACAGAAACACTAATTCTGTGAGAATATAAGTGGCAGCAACATCAATCTGGGGTAGGGCTGGAACTGAGTGAATCACCCCAGCTTCCATTAAGCACCCACGGTTGTCAGGCTTCAGCTCCCCCTGCTGGCTGGTAGCAGAGTGCAGTGGTCTGGCTGAGGAGATACAGATCTCCCTGTGACTCAGGCAGGCACAAACCCCTAGAGCATCTGATCATTGGAGAGAACTAGGTCACAGCCCTGCAGGGTTACCAGGGACAAAGGTATAAGGTGGGGAAGGAGGCATCAACCTTCCTGGACTAATTCATTTGCTGGGGGGTCCTTCTGACTCCATGGAGCACCAGAGCGAGTCATATTTGAGCTGCCAGCAGACCCCTGCTATCTAGTTGCTGGAAACCCTTTGAACTCTCCCACTTGAGACTGGGTGCTGACTGGGACAATTGATTTAGAACCCTTGACCTGGACCAATCACCTGAGGACTATCCAAAGTGATACCCTGGGTTTGTGGTTGTGGGAAGGTTTGATTTTCCTTTTCCAGTTGTTGCCCTTGGGAGGCAGGGTAACTTAGTTGCTGGTATTTCTCCACAGCTGAGACTTCAACCTAGAGTTTCCACTGATTCACTAGGATTAGACAGAGACCAGCTAAAACAAGACAGACCCACTTAGCGCCACCTCACCAAGCAGGTCCCCAGTGTCTCAGGCCATTGCACAGGTCCTTTGAAAAGCTCTAGGGGAAAAGGTACAGACACCAGCGTCAGCTCTTGGGCAAAGGGCTGGTTAATCCCTATTCCAAGAGCCCCCAAACCAACTTCATCTTATCAGCTCATCTAGCCAAATGGTGGAAAATAATCATGGGGCAGAATCAGCGGAAAAACTCTGATAACATGAATAACCAGAGTAGATCAACTTCCCCAAGGAACAATATGGCAGACACAACAGAAGATCCCATTCATAAACAAATGGCTGAGATGTCAGAAACCGAATTCAGAGTTTGGATGGCAAATAAGATTAATAGAATGGAGGTAAAGTTGGAATTAGAAATTCAAGGAGCATTTCAAAAGTTGTCTCAAGAATTCAATGAATTCAAACACAAAATCACCAAAGATTTTGACACAATTGAGGCAAGAACTTACAGCCCTCAAAGATCTGAGAAATACAATAGAATCCCTTAGTAACAGAATGGAATAGGCAAAAGAAAGGATTTCTGACATTGAAGACAAAGCTTTTGAATGCTCCCAAATGCCCAAAGAGGAAGAGAAGTGGAGAACAAAAATGGATCATTCTCTCAGAGAGCTCTGAGATAATTCAAAGAAAACTAATATTTGCCTTATAGGAATTCCTGAAGGCAACAAGGTAGCTTTGAAAGGCCTAGATGCTCTACTTCATGAGATAATCAAGGAGAACTTCCCAGACATGCTAAGGGATTCTGAAATTCAAATAGCAGACAGTTTCAGAACCCCAGCACAACTCAACCCAAAAAAGGCATCTCCCAGACACATTACAATTAACTTCACCAAAGTTAATATGAAGGAGAAAACTCTGCAAGTAGCCAGATGTTAGAAAACCAAAACCTACAAGGGGAAGAATATTAGAATGACTGCAAATCTTTCTGCTGAAACCTTTCAAGCTAGAAGAAGGTGGTCATTGACTTTTAATCTCCAAAAACAAAATAATTTTCAACCCAGGATCCTGTATCCAGCTAAACTGAGTTTCATTTTCATATATGATGGAGAAATTAAATACTTTAATGACATTCACATGTTGAAGAAATTTGCCATAACTAAACCAGCTATCTAGTATATCTTCCATAATGACCAGCACGATCCTCTACCACCAAAGTAAACTCACTCAGAAATTTTTGATCAAATTCCAACTTACACAGTGAAAAAAATGATTAAAAATGTCCACTGGACTTTTGAATAACTCAATACCCAAAATTCTACCAGGCTTATCAATATTCTCAATTAATGTGAATGGTTAAAATTGTCCTCTAAAGAGGCACAGGTTGGCAGACTGGATACAAAAACTCAGGCCAGATATCTGCTGAATATAAGAATCTCATCTTACCTTAAAAGATAAATATAGACTGAGGGTAAAGGGATGGTCATCTATAATTCAGGGAAATGGAAAGCAGAAAAAAGCAGGTGTTGCAATTTTATTCGCAGATACAGTAGGCTTTAAGCCAACAAAAGTAATGACAGATAAGGATGGTCACTTCATATTTGTTAAGGGTAACACTCAACATGATGAGATTTCAATTATTAACATTTATGCACCCAACCAGAATGTGCCTCAATTTATAAGAGAGACTCTAACGACAGGAGCAAATTGATTTCCTCCAGTACCATAATAGTTGGAGATTTTAACATCCTTTTGGCAGTGTTGGATAGACCCTCCAATAAGAAACTCAGCAAAGAAAGTTTTAGACTTAAAACTTAACCATCCAACAATTGGATTTAGGCTTGGCGCCTATAGCTCAACCAGCTAAGATGCCAGCCATGTAAACCTAAGGTGGCGGGTTCGAATCCCCAGCCCGGACCCGCCAAACAACAACGACGGCTGCAACCAAAAAATAGCCAGGCGTTGTGGCGGGCGCCTGTGGTCCCAGCTACTTGGGAGGTGGAGGCAGGAGACTCGCTTTAGCCCAGGAGTTGGAGGTTGCTGTGAGCTGTGATGCCATGGCGCTCTGCCCAGGGGGACAGCTTGAGGCTCTGTCTCAAAAAAAAAAACAAAAAAACAAAAAAAACAATTGGATTTAACAGACATCTACAGAACATTTCATCATAACAAAATTGAATACACATTCTTCTCATCAGCCCATGGAACATCCTGTATAATTGATCACATCTTAGGTCACAAGTCTAACCTCAGAAAATTTAAAAGAATATAAATTATTCCTTGCATCTTTTCAGATCATCATGGAATAAAAGTTGAACTCAATAACAATAGGAATCTGCATACTCATACAAAAACATGGAAACTAAATAATTTTATGCTGAACGATAGCTGAGTCATAGACAAGATTAAGAAGGAAATTACCAAATTTTTGGAACAAAATGATAATGAAGACACGAATTACCAGAACCTCTGAGCTACCACAAAGGCAGGCCTAAGAGGGAAATTTATAACACTGCGAGCCTTCCTCAAAAGAATGGAAAGAGAGGAAGTTAACAACTTAATGGGACATCTCAAGCAACTGGAAAAAGAAGAACATTCCAATCCCAAACCCAGCAGAAGAAAAGAAATAACCAAAATTAGAGCAGAATTAAATGACATTGAAAACAAAAGGATTATACAACAGATCAATAAATCTAAATGTTGGTTTTTTGAAAAGGTCAGTAAAATAGATAAACCTTTGGATAACCTAACCAGGAAAAAAGGAGTAAAATCTCTAATTTCATCAATCAGAAAAGGCAAAGATGAAATAACAACAGACTACTCAGAAATTCAAAAAATCCTTAATGAATAGTACAAGAAACTCTATTCTCAGAAATGTGAAAATTTTAAGGAAATAGACCAATACTTAGAAGCATGCCACCTTCCTAGACTTAACTAGAATGAAGTGGAAATGTTGAACAGACCTATATCAAGTTCTGAAATAGCATCAACTATACAAAATCTCCCTAAAAAGAAAAGCCCGGGACCAGATGGCTTCATATCAGAATTC